AATATTTAATATAATCAATTTTATAGGTATGTTATGGAGAAATGGTATTTTACCATATAATTTTTTAAATTGTACTATTCGCAGTCATTTACATAATTGTAGAAATATTTATGTGAAAGGATTACAAAAGAAGCAATGGCTCAAAAAAATTCTTCCGGAAAAGTATGTTAAATAATATACAATAGTACAAAATTTTAAACTCGAATTTAATTAGTTTTTTTTTTTTAATTACAGAAACATTTTAGATATCGAAACTGAAATGAGATGTCCGCGATTGGAAAATTTAAGTCGTAAATTTAAACCATCATGCATATATCATAGTCAAAATCGCGAGAATATAGTATGTGCTGCGGTAAATACACAAAAGATACACGATTGGATGATGGAAAGACAAAAACAAGCAAAATCAAAAGGGATCGACACAGTCGAAAGATTTACAGATGACTATAATTCATATAAAAATTCAACTGAATAATTGAAAATAGCTATTTCAGACACTGAACATAAAGATTATAGACTAAGTGTACTCTAGTCAATGTATAATTAAAAATAATAAATATTAAATAAATAATAAATGTGTACTTATTTAAATAGTAAAATAATTATAACGATTGTAAGAAAGAGCGAACGGATGGGAATAAGGTTCTCTCCTAGCAGAGATGTTTAGGAGGATCTCAAGGAGGTGTCAGTCGAGCGACTGCATTCGTACTCTCTAGCATTCTCACGAAAACAGTTCCCTTCATGGAGAGAGCACGTATTGACTATAGATAGCATACGCTTCCTCCGTGTACCATGGTCCACGTTTAGCTAGAGCGTAGGAGAGAGAGAGAGAGAGAGAGAGAGAGAGAGAGAGAGAGAGAGAGAGAGATTAGATTAAACCATTTTTTATTTAGCCATGAGGTATAACCCTTCCAGAAAAATAAAGTACTATTAGAGTAATAAAACAATAAAACAATAAAATAACAATAATAATAACCAATAATAAACATTAATAAACCAATAATAAACAATAATAATAAAACAATAAAACACACTAGATAACATACGCTATACATTGGCATTATAACAAGAAACATAACAGGATAAAACGCAATAAGAAAGGCAATAAGAAATGACGGAATGTGAGACAATAATATCACACTGATAAAATAATATAAATAACAATACAAAACTGGAGATACGCAGGTCGCAGAGTACAGGAGAAAATAAGTCGTATAAAAGAAAGAGGGAAGAGAATCGTGTGAGCAAAAAGGATAGGTGGGCCTCAATGCTGAGAGGGTGGCCTCACGGCAGACGGTGTCACGCGTTGGAGAGGCACGAGCCCGCGTAAGTGAGCCTCAGTTAAGATGGGGATCAGCTCGGAGCGCTGAGTCTGCCTGCAGAACACTCTCAGGTTACGGACCATTGGCCAGGCATAACCAAGCTAAGCACTAACCTTTCTCGCTTTTGTGAGAAGATCGAAGACCGGCTTCGGCCATATGGGGCGAACGTAGACTCTCGTCGGTCCACCGGTACCAAAGATTGACTGGGCGGTGTGCTCCTTTAACTTCGGGGAGAAACGAAGAATCCTATCCCGGATCGATGGAGAGTCCACAAGAAAAGCGAATGAGCGGCCAGACCGACGAGCAGCGCCGGGAAGTGATAGTGAGCTTTGGGAAGAAACTGAAGAATGGTTCCAATCACGCATGTTTATAATTTGCGGCAGATTGTGCATTCCGCCAAAACCGAGCGCAACAAGCAGTGAAGTTGCTGCCTGGAACAGTGTGCCCTGATAGTCTGAGGGAAAACCGTGGACGAGGAGTTCCGGCTCATCTATGACTGCAAAAAGAGCATCTCTGACCTGGTGCTCCAAGCGCAATTGGGACAACAAATCCCGCATCTCTTGATGTCTGCCGGCATTTAGTTGGGCCTCTCGCTTGAACCACTCAGGTGTATCTGCCATGGTAGTAGAGTGATCTGCGCCTTGATAAGAGATTGAGTGCGGGGACGAATGCAGGCGGTTCTGATTCGTAGCGAAGACGTTGGTTGCAAGAACGAAGGACTCAGGTGACGAATGATGAGGCGCAGTACAAAGTTGCTTGGTTACCGGTGACAATAGCGGCCGAGTAGGCGAGGATAGGCGTTCCTTAGCCCGCAAGAGTACAGATGGAGAGTGTCCGGTAGGCGTGGCGAATAGCGCGGCTGTATTGGCGATCGGTAATTGGTTGGAAGGTGACAAATCAGTACAACATATAAATTTAGTATTTTTAGATATCGGCCTAGAATTTGGGAATATACAATTAAGGTGGTAAAGGTAGTTGCAGGATCCGCACAAAAGAGATGTCGAGTCGTCGCAATGAAGGTAACACTTTGCATAGTCTCTAATTGACATTAAGAAATCGTAGCGGATAACAAGTTTAGGAATTAGAGGATTAAGAGGGAATCGAACTACGTTAAACTCAACAAGTAAATAAACTGGAGAGGAAAGAGCGAATTAACGTAGTCGAAAAGGTCAGGATAGTACGTGTGTGGCAGATAGAAAATTTGGCGCGAACAAGAGTAAACGAAATCTGCGACTCCTACCTGCAGTAAGATGAAATACAAGATATTTCGGAAATCGCGGGAAATGTGGAAAAATTCGCGGGAATGTTAATTGGTAGAGAAACTTAACCTAAATGGCGCACAGAATTATGAGTACTTAAAATTAGTCGCTTAATAATAAATTGGCTGATGACTAACAGAAACAACAGAACAAATCACTCAGTCGAAACGGTAATGATAACGTTACAGGAGAAATTGATTAAAGGGCGCAGCCGGATATCGAGACAAGAATTAGAAAAGATAGGATAAAATATGATTAGCGATTTTGATGTATCTCTCTCACGAAGCGGTGTGTAGGCGATGATAACGTGTTTTAGTAGCCGATGTTGCAGGAAACCGGTGTGCAGGTCAAATCAATGCAATGATGACAGATGAAACCAGTAGCTGCTGAAGTCTCACGTCCGTTCAGATTAAGGTGGATCAGGTTATGTGACAACTGCAGATCAAGGTAATGTGTAATTCCAGGGCAAATTATGCACTAACTAGCTCAAGCCTAGCTGCCCCTTAGACAACACATCACCTGGAACAAGTTGCTCGCAGAGGTGCAACAAAATTATGTTAGTCAAACTGTAAAAACCTGGAGCCGATGTGAAGTTCGTGCGGCGCTCACCAGAGAGAGAGGGAGAGAGGGAGAGAAGAGAGAGAGAGAGAGAGCACGCATCCTCAAGTTAGAACTATAGACAGTATGCGCTTCCGTCCTCCTCCGCACGCTCAGGCCCTATACCAAATGTATGCCTGTGTAGCTAATATACACAATATGCATCTAAGGTACATGTGGCATTGGCTCTAGTGGTAGAGCGCTAGCCTGCCAACCCAGAGGACTCCGGTTCGATTCTCCGGTCTGTCTTTTCATTTTTTCCAAAAAATTGTCGCTATTTTCTATTCGTTTCATTCTCAATGTAGCAAATAAATTGTCAATAATATATATTTATAACTTTAAAAAAAAAAAAACATTTAAATTTAATTAGACTAAAAGCACTTGGTATAGGGTCCCTAGGGACTAGGATAGGGACTAGGAGCCCTAGAAACCTTCCTCAAAAAATTATAAACAATTATTAACATTAATAATAATTAACATGGAAGGGTTAGGCCAGGAAATCGAAGGGTTAAACCAGGGACCCCGCACGAATATTGTTAATAATAATTGTTAACAATAATAATTATTATTAATATGAAAGGGTTAAGCCAGGGGCCAAAGGGTTAAGCCCGGTGGGGCAAAAGGGTTACAGACCCCCCGCAGGTGTGCTGGATCATACATTGGTATAATACTGATGATGAGCTGTCCTTTACTCAAAAAAGTTCTTCACGCTCTCGCATTTTATATTAATCACAACAAGCATCTAAAAAATCCATTATGCGTATATAAAAATGCACTAGATATCGTCAAATGTAAGTGCGAATTTGATGTATAAATGTACCTTATATTGAAAAATGCATGAAATAAAAAAAAAATGTTGGTGATATTAATATTTCGGTAAATAATTTTTTTAAAATAAATACCATTCTTTTTGTATAAAAAAAGATTGTCTTTTTGTTTTTATATGAAAACTGTTAAAACTAACTACATTAAGAATAATAAGTATGAATTCTAAATAAAAATTTTTTTCGACAAAGTGGGCATTTGTGCAAATTTCAAACACATTTTATATAGGCAACGACATGCATGCACTCTAAAAATATTGATACATTTTACGTAACAAGACAGATCTTCTATATTAACACCTCGCTTAAACTTATATTTCCCTAACTTACTTACTTTTTTTAATAAGCTGAATAAGCTATGAGATTTAATGCTACTTTTTAGCATAAAAATCGACTCTGATCAGGTCAGTTTATTCATTTTCAATTTCTAATACTCATATTCGACTGTTGTATTAGATCAGAATAGAAATAATTCAATAGGAATCGATTTTTATTTAAACATTTTTTAAGTTTCCTTAGAAGCAATTCAGGTTTGTGGCTGCAATTTTTAATTAATCATAGAGAGAACTTTCTAGAAATTAAAAAATTTTTTTCTATTAAATATAATCTAAATTAAAAAATTCTAATTATATCTATTATTATGTGCGCTGTTAAATCATAAAAATAAAGCAGAATTTTTTAAATTGAGAATTTAAACTTTAAAAATTTTTTAATTATTGCACTTTGTAAACACACACTTTACATTTTACTTTGGTTCCAATTTAAATATTTGCAAAATTTTCGCTATCATATTTGTTGTGCAATTTTGTTTTATATCATCTTAAATTTTAGAAAGAAAATTATTTCAGTGCTTACATATCGCTGTTTTATGAACGTTATAATATTATACAACTTTATAGAAATCATATTACAAAGTCGGATTTATGTGCGTTGAGTTCAATGAATCTGTACTGAGCTTGCGCGGTCGTAGAATCCTTTTCGTATCATTGTTTCCATGAGTAAATAATTTTGTGCGAACATTCACTTAGATGGATTATATACATTCATTGTATTGTAAATATGAATTGATTGTAAATATAAATTTCATATAATGATCTCAGTACACCTGTCGTACCCTCTTTAGTATTGATTTTGGAAGGAATTTAGAAAGGTATATAAATTTAAGGACGTATATACTAATTTTTAAATAAATTTCATTGGTGTATATTATTCTTACTTCTACTTCGGAAATTCCGAGTGAAAATTATCTTAATAGAATTTATTAGAAATATATCTAAGGTTATTATATTTACCATCAAAACATATTTCTTTTGAAGTATTTATTACTACAAGCCTATGGAGATAGCGTCATATATCTGTGATTAATTGAACATGCTATAGCTGTAGAAACTTTAAGATATTACTTTTTTCTAGATTTATTTTGTACACAACGTTAAAATTTTTCCAGTAAACTTCACCCATTTTAGATAATAGATGTTGCACTATTGGACTATCAAAATACGACTATCAAGTCTCTATTTAATTATTTATTTAATAATCTTTATATCTCAAAAGTAAGTAACCGTCTTTTATAATATAGTTTAAACTAGTATCGGTTTTACATATCCATATATATATATATATATATCTAGAGAGAGAGAGTGAGAGTTTAAAAAACACTGAGTATTATACATAGATGATTTTAATTTTATAGCATCTTTGTATTTTCTTTTTAGTGGAAAACAAAAATGACCTAAAGCTTCAGCATTCTCGACTTTCAATTTGATTGCAGAATTTTTTATACATTTTTCTATCTCCACAAATAAATTTTCTTTTTTAGGGGAAGATTCGCTAATTGGTGTAGAAAAAAGAAAGTAAATAGAATGGAGCACCATAACCTTTACTGAATGAATAAAAAATTTTGAAGAAAACCCTTTGTAATAAATTATTTTACAAAAACATCTGGTTTTTCACTATAATTCACATGAAAACTTTTTCTTTATCTCAGAATGATTACGTTTCTTATATTTTCCAATATGCTTTATATGGTAAAATGATTTTATTGTTACAATATTAAAAGCAATTTTATTTTCGCTTTATTACATTTTTTTATAATAAAAATTTCATTCTATGCAATTTGTATGAAAATGTTGAAAAATTTTGTAAAACGTTGTATTTGACTTATTGAAAATTCAATGTCTTTTTAATTTATAATCAAACAAACAGAAATATTTCAAGCGTTAAGTTCGATTAATTTTCTACTATCATTTATTATGAAAAAGTTATACCAAATAGTATACTTTCTCTCCAAAAATATTTATTAAAAATCTTTTTCTTTTTATCGCAAAACGTACACCACTTAAATAAGTTTCAGATACTTAACAAAATTGGTAATGAAAACAAAATTGAGGTTTTATAATTTCTACTACAAAAAACCTATAGTAATCCCGAAGTGAACTAAATTTTCTAATGAAAAATTTTAAAGAAACAAACATAGCTTTCAAACTAATAAGTGTTATAAATCTAATCTTTGCAATAGTCATTTAGAAAATCAAGTATTTTGTGATTTTTTTCCTTTCTTATAAGTATTATAAACAAAAGCTAGATTAAACGTTGACGATAATTGTTATGATAATAATTTTAACTGATTTTGATAAATCTATTTGTTAGAACTATTTAAATTATAGATGCATGTATTATTATTTTATTTTCAGCTGTTAGCTTATTCTTTAGTATTTCTTAGAATACTTACATAGATTTTTACTTTATATTTCTTCGGAGAGGTAGTCTTCTTTTAACATCTTTTGAACGCCAAAACAAGGTTACATTCAATCTAGGAATAAACAGTCACTTTTTTTCAGCATTAATTAATTTAATTAATTGATTTGTTATGTATACTAGGGGATTTGTGGTTCGCATATTTTTTCCTGCATTCATATAATGTTAACGTAATACAGTTGGTCTCATCATACTAATGACCTAAAATAAAACGTATATTGACCAAGATATTGATATGACATGGTAGCGACTTTATGTTATTGCATGAATCATAAATATATTCATCAATACATATATAGAACCATATATATATTTGTTGAATGCAGATTGCCATACATAAAGATTATTAAAAAAAGAATTATTTTTAACTGTTAATAAAACATAAGCTAATAAATGAATGAATAAATCATAATCCCATCATTATAGCTACAATTTATTACATAGACAGAACACTCATTTGAGTATTCTGCTGAATTTCATATACATTTATCAATAGCAGGTACTTATTGTCTTAATGTGATAGATAGATTATAAATAAACTTATAGCCACAAAAAAAACTAGTTAATCAATATTAAGGTTTATAGCATTCTCTTGTAACAAGTGCAATTACAAGAATAAAACGAAATATTTTAAAATATGAAAGGTCGTGATAGTGATTGTAGTAAATAATAATATAAATAATCACAAATCTACAAAATGTTATAATTTAAATTTATGTGAGATTGTGATTTTCTATTGTGCAAATTTTTCTCCGTTTATTTACATAACGTAAACATACATAGAATACACATCTGAACTTGCAAGGATTTACCGTGAAATTTTGATAAATTGTTTTTTGCTGTGCAGAGAAAGAATAAATTTTCTTGTCGTTAGTTAATTTATTAGCTTTGATTATTTACATTACGTACATTATGTAAAGGTGAATTTGATGAAACAATATGAATTTAGTGAAACAATAAGTTTGAATGAATCGTGTTTTGTTGTATACGAAAAATGTAAAAATGTACATAATTGTTCACAATTTTCTAATACGATTATTAGTTTTATTTATTAATGAGTTAATTTAATTCCTAAGATTTTAATTTTTTTTTTAAATAATCGTTGTATGTTTTTCATATATAAGTAAGTTATCTCTAATATTCAGTGATATTATTCATTCAAATAAATTTTTATAGGAGAGCGTCAATGTCGTTATTAATATAGCAATGTATGTTCTGGGCCACCAGGGACCACGTGGTTGGAGGTAATAACGGTTCCCAGGGCTTAGGAGCACTAGTGTTTTCTGTCTCGTTTGGTAATTTATTTAAATGGTTATTAAAATTCCACTTAATAGTTATTAAATATTAGTAATTATATATAATGTTCAATAACGAATTAAAAATAGAGAACAAGGTGTTAGGATAATTTAAAAAAATGAAGGTACAAGTCGGGAAATTTTACCCGCGTACTCTGGGTTCACAGTCCACTGCTTTCTATGAAAACTACTATCACACGTACCCTGGAGAGTTCTTAATTTGTATATTAGCTATATATTTGGTATAGGATCCGACCGTATGGAGGAGGCGAGTGTGTGCTCTTTCTTGTAGAAGAGGTGTTATCGTTCTCTCACTATATGAAGGGGAGCTTACTAGCTTGAAATCTCTAAAATCTGAAAAAGAGAGAGAGAGAGAGAGTAAGAGAGAGAAAAGCTTTATTGAGCCGTGGGGTATAACCCCGTAGGCTATGAGCACAATACGAATCAGATACAATAAGTTAGAGCGCAGTAATAGGCAGTAAGATTATACAACTAAATACCAGGGTCATTTGAAAAGTCCGTGCAATGTCAGAGAGATGGCGCTATTAGTGCGCATCAAGGTTATTTTCAGTTATGGCATATCTTGGAAGAGCACACACCAAGTTTCAGCCAAAACGGCCAATTACTTTGCGTTTTACATTCGTTTCAATCAAAGAAATCGAGTGGTTGTAAAAAAATGGACGAAAAAGAATTTCGTGTATTGATTAAACATTACTTTTTCAAAGGCAAAACGCCTCAGGAGATTAAACAGAAGATTGATAAACATTATGGTGAATGTGCACCTTCGATTAGAATGATTTATAAGTGGTTTCAAAATTTTCGGAGTGGCCATATGAGCACAAAAGATGCTGAACATTCTGAACGCCCTGTTGAGGTTACTATTTCAGAAATCATTGATAAAAGCGACAATATGGTGATGGCTGACAGAAGCGTGAAGGTGCGTGAGATTGCTAGTACTGTAGGAATCTCGAGCGAACGGGTACATAATATTTTGCACCAACATTTGGACACGAAAAAGCTATTTGTTAGATGGGTGCCGCGATTGCTCACTATTGACCAAAAACGAGATCGTGTGTCATGGCGGTCATCTGCCGGGCGACGCGTGCTGTACGTCTGTTAGAATTATAAGCGCGATAAGTTAGTTAATTTGTTCTTTGTTCTCTATTGTAATAGATGTTAAGAACACCGATGTGCTCTATAGTGTTAAGACGTGTTCGCAACATCGTTCTGTTCATTAGGTTAAGATTTGTAAAGCTGGTTATAAGTAGAATTATGCAGTTTGTTCTTTCGCGGTTGTTCATGTACGTTTTCGAAGTTGAAGTGTAATTTCAATTTGACTTGATTAGAATCAGATTTGATTTCATTGTGAATTTTGCTGTGTATATAATTTCTTAATCACTTTCATTTCTTTACCTTCCCCCCCTCACGCCTCGATTGCTATGAGCGAGTGTGCCTCAATTGCCCGCCTTAAAAAATTGATAACGAACGAGCTTGCGTGTCATGGCATCCCTGGTGGGCATAGCAATTGAGGTAACGGGAACGGAAACGGTAAATTAGTGAATGGTTAATTGGGGAATTTTCCGTTGTGTACATACGCACAAAGAAAAGAATTTCCAGTTTCGTGTTTATTTTCTTAGGAGTGTTTTGTTTCGGATTACTAGTGACCTTTTCTCGGTGGAGGAGTCGAGTGGCCGCGAGTGCGTCATTTGGTTGTTTTGACACCGGACCCGAACTTAAACATTGGATTTGGGCATATCTCATGTTTTCTTTGTTAGATTTATGCAAGGTGATTGCTCGCCGGCTTAAAGCCTGAAAGAGAATTCGAGATAAAATTTCGGTGGTGTCGAACTGCATGACACGCGATAAAGGTATGCTGCCTCGATATTTTGAATTTCGGTTTCCCACGGAAAATGTAGCTAGCCTGTAGAGACAGGATTCTAATGTGCAGAATATTACGCGATGCGCACGCGAAAAGCCTTAAACGCGAAATTGACTCAACGGAACCGGCCGTACTGCTTGAGTGATGAGCCATCGCGGACTTCAGCGCGGTGACGTAGAAGAGCTGCGAGATCGATACTTGCGGTTTTTGATAAGAAAA